TTCCCATTGCCCTCTGTTATTAGTCAGGTTTTCTGTTGCTGGGACAAAATACTTAACATATACAACTTTATTTTGGCTCATGGTTTCAGAAGTTTCAGGCCATGGCAGAAATGATATAGCAGGACGTGGTGGAGTTGCACAAATTGCACAAATCATAGAACCTAGGAAGCAGAGAGAGTAGGAAGAGAGCCAGAGAGTGAAGAAGGGGCTATAAACAAGATATATCCTTCCACGGCCTGCCCCAGTGACTCAGTCCATCCACTACCTCCTAATAGCACATTTAGCTATGAATTCATCAATGAATTAATCCATTGATGTGGTTAGTACTCTGTGAACTAATCACCTTCCAAAAGCCCCACCTCTGAACATATGAGCCTTTTGGGGGCCATTTTTGTTCCAAACCATAATAGCCCCAGATCCCATCTGAGAACCCTGGAAAGCCCTGCAGGGCCAGCCATGTTGTTTCTATCAGCACTGTGGCTGTGCAGCACAGGCAGTGCCATCCAGGGCCTGGGAGACTCAGGCCAGCACTGACTGGGACAGGAGCACCACAGAGAGCTGCTCAGATCAGAGACCCTGGGTCTGCCTTGACATTGAGAGGTACCACCCTGGCAATGTCTGTAACTAGCACCCAGGGCATGGTTATCAGCACTCCTGGGAGTACCAGGAGCTCAGGGTGAGCCCCATCCCTCACTTGGCTTTGCAGAGAATTGACATCAACTAGGGGCCTGAGTAGAAAAACACCAAAGAGCTGTCTGTGACTCGGGCCAGCCACCCCAGGGTCTCAGCCTCAACCACACAAGACTGCAAGTGAAACTAGAGTTAGTGAATTTGAGATCCTATTAATATGGCTTGCACAGTGCCTGGGGAAGCTTAAGACATTGGGAATTCTCTTCTCATCTCAGAGAAGAGCACCCAAGACGTGTGGGGCACAGTAGCGATGGTGATAGTCTCTGGCTTTGAGTCCCTGCAGTATTGTCTTTGGAATCACCTTGAAAACCTCCCCTTCCCTCTTCTTCCCTTCTCTCCCTTGCCCTTTCCTGCTCTGCCCTTCCCAGGCCTCTTGAAGTCTCCTCCAGGGTCATCAGGATCTCCTGACTCCCCTCCAGGGCTCCTCCATCTTTCCCACTGCTGTCTTCCCTCCTATGTTGGTCCAAGTTGCTGTTGAGGTTGCAGTTGAGGTTTCCTGTTGTGTTGACTCCACTTTCTCACATCCCCATTGGTGCTTTTTGCACCATGGCAGAACTCGGTGCCAAGCTGGCTCTGCCAAGTTTGGGTACCCTCTTTCCATCAGAGCTGAAGTTTTGATTGGTTCCTCAAAATATTATCTTTTGTTCTTTTGCCTTTGTACAGCCTCCCCATTCACAGAACTGAAGAAAAGTCACTTCCAAGCCCAGCTGCAGGACGTGTGAAACCCTACCAAGTGTCTCAGAGAAAAGTTCTCTTCCCACTGCTAGTTCAAGGGCGTCCTCCCCAATTCCTCCAGTGGGAGAGAATTCTCTAGTCTGAGCACCTCTGCTCGGTGCTCACTTTTCACACTCACTTTAAAATTTCACTTCCTCACATTTTTGCTTCCGGGATGGAATTCCATAAAACAATCTAACACTCCCTTCCATGAGATTTTCCATATGAAATATCTGGCAGTTACTTCTGTTTGTTTAAACTTGAAACAAAAATCAATGATTTCAAATTGCAAGTTCAGTTAAAATTTACTTTGCGGTAATGTTGTAGGATAACATTGGCAGAGTTTGGAAGCAGAAAGCAAATGAGGCAGGAAAACAAGATAATCCAAAAGATGATAGAACAGGATCTCTGATTAGTGAAGCACAATTACATGGAATAAATACAATATTGATTTTTGTGTAAAAATCATGCAGAGCAGAAAGAAAAGCAGGTGTTTTGTCATCTTTTCTTTTCATTTTTACTTGTCAAGATATTTTCACTTTCTTTGACTCACATTAGTTTTGCTCTTGTTTTTAATACAATTTTTATTTAGACGACTGAAATTGCATTAAATGCCTTGGGTTTCCCCATTTAGAAATGTGTTTCTTCAGAGCCCCCTCAGCTGTGTCACGTCTGGTCTTTGGCCATTCCCTATTTCTCACTACATGGTTTTATAGGTATTTGCCTTCATGTCTTCACTCTTCTGCTAGATTGTGAATTTATTGAGGATAGACACATACTTGTATATGCTTTATCAACAGTGAATTCCCCAGTGGCATGAGTAGGTGGAATTCTTATTTTAAAAATATGATTTTGAAAACTGAGTTACTAAATAATTTTATAATGAGAATTTTCATGTGGAATGCATGTTTTGGTGACTCAGAGATGAAGAATACACACTGCATTTATACCTTTAATACTCTGTAGGAGGAAAAGATGGATGTATCAGCTGTGAAACAATTTTTGAGTTAATTACATTTGTTTGTGGTTCCCAGTACATATTTAAAATTTAAAGAGATGTTCATTCTTTCTCTTTCTCCTTCTCTCTCTCTCTCTCTCTTTCTCTCTCTCTCTCACACACACACACACACACACACGCGCGCGCGCATCTTAAAGGCAGTGGGAATCCTCTATCCCACTGTATCCTTTGAGAGTGTAGCAGATGTGTCCCCAGTCCCAGGAGAGTTGAAAGCTTGAAGTTCCTAGAGGACTGGGGATCATGGATCTCAGGGGATGAATGTGGTGACAAGGACCTGCTGGTGCTTAGCGTCAGGACCCACTTGGGAGAAGGGAAACCTGACTGTGGCCTCGATTGAGCACCAGTCCCAACCTTGCACTTCCCAGAATGGGAGCCCACAGGAATGCAGACATGGTTCTATCCCTTTTTGTCTTTATTTTTTGAGTTTTTCTGAGGACTCTTCACTTGGTGTTCTGCTTAACCCTTTTGAGCACAAGGTTTCTCTGAAATTTTTATTTTTATATGTAACCTTACAGAAAGGATCTTGGATATTTCCTGGCATTTTATAGAAGACCATTGCTATAGGAAAAGAGACCTAATTTTCTTGGAGTTGCATGCTCTGTTTTATCAAGTTCTTAGCTAAGAAGTCAGGTGCTTGGGCCCCAGAGCCAGACCAACTTTGGACTGGGGCTTCATTGTACATTGGCTATGCAGAGGTCAGTTTACCTTGAAGCTGACAATAGTGAAATTCCAGGGTTCTTCCCTCCAAGGCCCCTTCCAAGGCCCCATGAGGGGCCCTAGCCATGCTGTCTCTTTCTACTCTTACTTCATCTTGGTGTCTTTTGTTTCTTGTATATGGTAGTGCTAAATGGGCAAGGGAATTTTAGGAATTTGGCTAAGAGGCAGTTGAAGTGGGAATAAGCTGTTTTAAATGTAATTTGGGAAGCCACTTGGTGATGCAACAATAAAACAAGTGCAAAATTACAGTTCTTGATTTGAACATAGATGAATGGTACATTTTTGGGGGTCATCTTTAAACATTTTAAAGAGCTGATAGAAAATTCATACAAAGATAGAAATTCAGGACAGAAGTGGCAGAGCTGAGCAATAAAATTGATAGATACTGAGAAGGAAATTATAATAAAAATTTTGAGCTGGGTGTGGTAGCATGTGCCTGTATTCTCAACTACTCAGAAGGCTAAGGCAGGAGGACTGTGAGTTCAAGGCTGGCCTGGGCAACTTAGAGAGATCCTACCTCAAAATAAAAAACAAAAAGGATGGAAATATAGCTTAGTGTGAAGGCCCTGGGTTTAATCTACAGTAATGGAAAAAAAATTTGAGGTCCTATTAAACTCACTCATTAATTAATGAAAGAAAATTTTGTTCATTCATTTACAGCAAGAGGAAATATTGACTAGGTATAGTGAAGAAGCCCTTGAAATTCTGATAATCCTTTAATGAAGAGGAATGAATCACATGCTCACATTAGAAAAAGATTTAAATTTCTTACCAATTTGATACAGAACAAAGATAGCATAAACTTAATAAGTCACTATAGTGGAGATACCTGCCAAGAGCAAACAGGTTAATGGCTGTTGTCAAGTTAGGGAAGTTGGTTCGAGATTAACATTGACAGAAAACCTTCAAATGCCCAGTTATAGCTCAGATATGAAAGCAACATGGTAGAGCTTTCCCCAAATTTGACAGCAACCCTAGAGACTTGCCTACTATCATCTATAATGAGTCACAAAGCTGAAAATAATAAAAATAAACTTTGATCCACGACATTACAGGAAAGAAATTATATGTTGTTGTTTGGATCTGGAATGTCTCCCACAGGCTCAGTCCCCAATTAATCCTCTGACGAACTCATAACTGAATGTGCTGTCGGGTACGGCCTCATTGGGGAAGTGGGCGTGGCTTTGAAGGGTATAATGTGTGCCTGGACTCTTCCCCCATCCTCAGTTTTCTCCTGCTTTCTCTCCCTCTCCCACCCCATCCCCTTTTTGGCTGGTCTGAGGTGAGCAGCTTTGTTCTGCCTCCTGCCCCCATCAATGTGATGCTCTGCCTCAGCTCAGGCCCACAGACAACAGAGCCAGTTGACCATGGACCTCTGAAACCATGAGCCAAAAGAAATCTTTTCTCCTTTAAGTTGATTTTCTCAGGCATTTTGTTACAGCAATGGGAAGCTAGCACATTGTTTTTCTGTTCTGTTTATAGAAAAAAAATCTGTGGCCAACACATGTAAGAAAAGGTAACAATAGATGTCCAGCAAATGATAAAAATTACTGTTATTTTTCTGGATCTTGGTTGGAATTTCTGTCCTCTTTCTAAAGAAATATTCACTTTTAAACACTTGAATTTGTGATTCTTATATTTCTTCTTAAAGTAGGCATCCTCAAATTGTATAAATTTCAGGTCCCACAAACCTGGAGCTTCCCTGTATCTCCATGGCCCTGAAGAACAACGTGAGTGTTCTGAATCTCAGTTTCCTCAGGACAGATGGAGGATCGATCAGGTTCCTGATTGTTAGGTCAAGAGGTGAAATGAAATAATGAGGATGGAATGCTTGGCCCAGAAGACACTGTAAGTGCTCGTCATTGGTATCATTTATTCATTCATTCTCTGGACACAGATTGAGCACCGAAATGTTCAGACACTGAAGCTTCAGTAGAGAACAAATGGAAAAAGCTCTTGCTTTTAAGAAGTGGTACATTTGTTCCAATTTATTCTAATTTTTTCTAGTTTATTCTAATTCTCATTGTGGTTTCCTTCTCTCATTACAGGGTCTCTGTATTCCTCTTCCTCTTGGAAGACTTGCTGGCTTTTTTCCTTTTTCAAATTAAATGAAAAAAATTACTTTGTTTTGCAAATTATGTGCCACCTTTTAGATACCTTTTTAGATCCCAGTAAGGCTGCAAAACTAGAGCTAGAAGTAGATGGCTCCATGTCCATTTCAAGGCTGCAGTGGAGCCAGGTTGGCATTCCCTAGTTTGTAATTTGGCCTTCTGAGAGGTCAATGATAGAGGAGGAGCAGGGAGCTCAGCCCAGTGTCTGGAAAGAGGACTTCCCAGTGGCTTTGTTTCTCATGTCCATTGGAAGCACAAATTAGAAGAGACCTTGTAGATCTAGGACACAGCAGTTACTCACTGCTCTGTGGGGTCACTTGTCCTAGGGTTTTCAGTGATAGCTTATCATTTAAACATACTATTTTCTGAGTTAATAGCTTCCTAACGTGTAACTTTCTAAAGCTAGAGTGGAGTCAGGAAAGCAGGCCATGCACACGATTCTGAGGACTAGTGAGATGACTTTTCACTTGGACCCTTTGAGTCCGAGCATCTGCTGAAATGTATTTATAGGCTTACAGAAAGGGTCTTGGTTGTTCTACAGCAGAAGCCCAGTGCATTGGCATTGGTCCAGTTTTAGAAAGCTGAAATGTTTGACTCTTTGTTTTATTTTAGGAGTGTGCTATACTGGTAGAATTAAATGAAGAAGCAGTGAATTGTGAATACAATGCTATTTATTAATTAAATTTTTTTTGCATGTGGGTGACTTAGTTGGAGGTTTAATAATCATTTGGTCATTTAGAGTCAGCTACTTTCAGTTATTAAGATTTCAGATCTAGAGTATCCACTTAATATTTCTTGTGCTGTGAATCTGTTGTGGACACCCAAGTCTCAACAAATAGGTTGTAAGTCTTGCATAATTTGTCCTGAACAACTCTAGATATAGATCATGTACCTTTTTAGGACAGGGACTCTATCTGTTAAGTTCTAGGAGTCTGCATGATGCTTGGCACTTAGTAGGTGCTCAATAAATAATTTCTGAAAGGAAAACAAATGATAAATGAAGGAAGGACCATGTAAGTTAATAGAATTTCTAAGATGAAGTAGGATGCTTCCTCTACCAAAGGAAATTCATTTGGCATTCATTTAAGGCAGCCTTAGGCTGACTCTGCTAAGTAAAGCTTATTTTACAAATAAATGTTGAAAGTAGAAGAGAAACTATTAGGGAAGAGGAAGGAGGTGGAGGAAGGAAGAGTGGTAGGGATAGTGGAGAAGAGAATGATCAAAGTATGTTATATGTGTGTACGAATATGCCAGAATGAAACCCAGGGATCTGTGTAACTACAGTGCACTAATAAAAAAAAAACCCTTTTATATATATAAAAAAATTTTATGCTTTGAGAGCAAACCATTTCTTGTGTTGATACAGAGTGAAGTGCTTTGCAACTTTAGCTACACTTACCCAAATGGGAAGTATTTACCCATTAAGGTAACTAATATGTTTGCTAAGAGCGAGGATAGGCCCATGACTTACCCTAGGCTGAGTGATCTCAGCCCAGTTACCTGATCACTCTGAGTTTTCTCATCTCTATAATGGGAATAATGACAATGGCTTCATAGGGTTGTTGGGAAGATGGAATGCGAGCACGCTTGGCACAAGTGCCCAGTAAGTACTCAGTAAAAATTTCTCCTCCCCTCCACCTTCTTGCCCTCCCTTCTTCTTCCTGTTCCGACTGCTAACTAACCTGGGCATTGGTAATTTCTCCCGCTGATCTCCAGGAAGAAAGTTAGAGTCTATAAGCCACTGTTCAGCCCAACTGGCCGTAATATTTTTGTGTGGCCTTTGAATGTTCAATGAGAAAACATAAAGATTCTCATCCCCAGATTTTACAAGAGTCCAACACTTACAATTTTGCTCATTTAATTAGTAATCTTCCCTCTCTTACACCCACTCTTGCCCTAAGTTGGATTTCATCAGCATTCCAAGTCTTCTGGGATGGCTTTGTGTTCCTTTTTCTTCTTGGCATGCAAGCCTACTTTTATTTTCTTTTTCAGAGATTTTACTGAGTGAGAAATCAACATTGAAGACAGCTTCCCGAGGGCTTGGGGCTTGAAGGTGACTGATTTTTTAAAAGCTATTAGTGATGTAAAAAAGCCAACCAAAACTTGCCCTTCTGGAGAGATCCCACGACTCTCTAAAGCAGCTCCAGCTCCTAACTCCCCTGTGATAATTCAAGGTCAAACTCAGCTGTGGTGGTGGTAGCTTGATTTTGCTCATTTTGGACATTATTTATGTAATACGCAGGTTGTGAGGGAGTGTGGATGCAGATGATTCATAGGCAGGAGCAGCGGGAAACAGATTGCAGAAGCCCAGCTCCTCTTGGATGTCCTCTCCACCCCCATGTTGCCCCTGGGCCACTTCCTGCATGCCTTGCCATGGCTACTTGGCTAAGCAGACCCCTGGTCTCCCTAGGCAGCTCTCTGGGCAGTGGGGTGCCTTGGTCCTTTAGGGGTCCCAAACCAGTAACAGATTATGGAGATACACCCACCTTCCAAGATGTAATTCTCATTTCTAAAAGCCTAAACCATAAAGTAGCATAAGGAATTCTAAAAAAGTTGTGATGACTACTTCCAGGCTTATTTTTTGAAATATCAAGTTAAAACAATTTTTTTCCCCTCATTTTGGTGCTGCTACCCCTGCTCTTCTGGGCTATGTCTCATGCCTGTGCTGAGTCTACCTGTTTATTAGTTACCCAGTGAGCAGTAAACATGCTGATTTTTTGTGGATAAGCTGCAAAGGAACCTTTTCTTAACTCTTAAAAGTTTTGTCCCAACAGGGAGAACTATCTTCAAGTGACATCCAACATTCCCTGATGCAATGGCAAGAGCACAGGTTTGTAGAGTTAGGCAGGCTCGATTAGAAGATTCATTAGTTCTGTGTATCAGTACTAGTGTGTGTGGAAATAATGCCATGGGGCCAAACCTGCCCAAACCTCCAGGCCCCACATAGTTAGGTGGTCCCCTCAGCAGCTCTATGTATCTTGACTGGGCTGCTTTTATCTGGGGCTTAGCTGACAGCTGACTGGGGAGATGGGAGTCTGTACTCTGCCCCACGTGTCTCCTGTTCGCTAGCAGGCTATCCCAGGCACACTCCCGAGCAACAACAGAAGGAGGGTAAGCACAGGCCCGCTCACATAAGCAATTGTAAAGTGCCTGCTTGCAACTCGCTTACTGATAGCTCATTGGCCAAATCAAGTCACACAGCCAAGCCCAGAGTTGGAGTGGATGGACCTGTGACAGGGCAAAGAGCTTGGGAGCAGAGAGAGGTGAAGAACTGGGATCATTCTTACAATCCACCACTCTGTGTGATCTGGGGAAAGTTAACTGACCTCTCAGAGTCCCATTTTCCCCTTCTCTTGAAATATAAGGCTCATGCTCTCTAGCCCACACCTGTGTGAAAATCAAGTAAGAGAATTTGAATGAGTATGATTCATGGCTGTTTGAACTTAGGAAAGTGCTCTGCAGCTAGTATTAACCACTTATCCAGGAGAAGGAGAGTAAATGCATGTCCTGTTGGCTGGTTTCTCCATTAACAAATAAGGTGCTGTCTTAGCCAGGGTTCTCTAGAGAAACAGAAGCAACAAGATATATATCTACATAGATTGATTTTAAGAAATTGTCTTATGTGATTGTGGAGACTTGGTGGGTCCAAAATCTGCAGGGCAGGCCAGCAGGAGACTCAGGGAAGAGTTGTGGTTCAAGTCCAAAGACAGTGTCCTGGCAGGAGGCCTTTTTTGCTCAGGGAGGTCAGTCTTTCAATCAAGGCCTTTAGCTGACTAGATGAGGCCCATACTTTATGGAAGGTAATCTGCTTTCCTTGAAATTCACCTATTTAAATGTTAATCTCAGGGCCTGAGATAGTAGCTCAGTAGTAGACTGTGCATTTAGCATGTACAAGGTTCTGGGTTCAATTTCCAGCACCACATGTGCACACCAAAAAATGTTAATCTCACCCAAAAAATACTTTCACAGAAACATCCAGAATAATTAATGTTTGACCCAATATCTGGGCACCATGGCCTGGCCAAGTTGACCCATAAAAGTTAACCATCAGAAGTGCTGTGGGCTTCAATTTATAGTTAATTATTAATGCAACAAATATTTACTGAGCGTTTAGTGTGTAGTGGACATTATGTTTATCCATTGTAGTATAGTAGTTAGAAGCTGTTATCTTTGCCTTCAAAACACTCTCGTTCTAGTAAGAGGTAATTAAGGAGAGGCCGGGGATTTAGTTCAGTGGTTCTGCTGCCTGCCCTGCAAGCACAAGGACTGGAGTTCATCCCGTACCAAACAAACAAAAAAACACAAACAAACAAAAAAAAGAGATGCTTAAGGAGGAAATGAGAAAGCCTGCCAAACACCACCAGTGCTGCCATTTACCCAAAGTAATTCCTTTTTGTCTGCATTAGCTCATTTAATCCCAACAACACAACTGATAGGCACTGTTGTCCCTGTTCTGCAGATAAGGAAAAGGAAATTTGGAGTCATTAAGTGAGCTCCCAGGAGGTCTAGTGGCCAGTAAGCAGCAGAGCGTGGACTGAGCTGACACCTGCCCAACACCCAAGCCCAGGCCGCTGGGAGCTTTACGGTGTCACTCATGCCCTTGGACTGTGGCTTCTCGCAGATGAGAGAGCAGAGGAGCAGGACAACAGTGCAAGCAAGGTCGGCCTAGAAGGCAGGCATGGGAGTTGGGAAGGGTCTCCCCTGCCATCTGTGAGACATTCATGCCCTCCCACCCCTGCCGGCCGATTTGCCTTGCACTTCCTGAGCCTCTGAGATGTGGATAGCAAGGAGGCCACTCCCAGAGTCGGAAAGTCCACCTTGGGAAACACATGGCTTAGTGTCTTCCTCTTTAAAAGGGGCAAATGAGTGTGCGTCTGTGTGTAGGTGGGGAGAGACAAGATTTGAGCCCTTTCCAGTAAAGCCACCTCTTCATCCAGTCTGTTCAGAGACGTGCTCTGGGTAAGTGTGTGTACAGACATACGTATGTAATATTTTCAGACTTTATCATACTTCCAAACTGCTCACAGCGGGGCTGCAGATGGAGCTATATGCTAACGGGTGTGGGGGAAAATGCTTCCCACGTAAGGACTGCTCCTCTGTGTGTTTAAAGCAAACTATCCGCCAAGGGGCTTCTCTCCTCAGCAGTTCGTTCCAGGGGGAACACAGTGCTGCACACATTAGCTGTCGGCCTGGCATACACGGGCCGGGAAGCGTGACCTGCAGCAGAGATGAAGAACCTGTGGAGGCAGGGGAGAAGGGGGCGCTTTATGTAAGTGGCTTTTAGACAGATGGAGGATTCATTTTAATTGCATAAAAGGCACTCTTTCTTGAGTAGAGATTAGGTCCTTTGCAAATCTGTGCTAGACAAATCTTCTTGCTGTAGTGTTTCTAAAGGCCCCTCTATTTCCATGATAATTGCCCATGTGTTAAGTTCTATCTGGGCTATTTGCATTCTTACCTGAGGGTGACTTCACCTCGGCTTTGTTGCTGCCATCTGAAGGGTTTTAAGCCAAATTGTGGCTGAAACAGTGGTTTTGACAAATGGAGCAGGTGATTATAATTCAGGCATTGGAAAGATTGAGCAGAGCCAGTCGAGAGCAGTGGTGCTGTGGTTTGGATATGGTTTGGGCCCCAGAATTTCCTGTTCTAGAAGTGTGGTCTCCCGTGTGGTGGAGTTGAGGCGGTAGACCCTTTAGGTGTTGGAGCTTAGGGGTAGGTAATTAGGTCGTGGGGCTCCACCTTCTTGACTAGATGAAGGTAATTTTGCAGGAGAGGGTTGGGTCTCCTATGACCAAACTTGTTGAGAGAGCAGAATGTTGTAAAGCAAGGCCATTCCATGCCTTGACCCTTTGTGCATGTGGCCATTTTCTTTTCTGCTTCTCTTTCATGCCATAATGCAGCCAGAGGGCCTTCACCAAATGCCAGCCTTGTGCTGCTTGGACGTCCCCCCCCCCCCACTCCACCATTAAGAAAACAAATCATCTTTATGATCTCCCAGAATAAGCACCCTTGAGACAGGAACTTGGCTTCAGAGCTCTTGTTGGAACCACTGTTAGTGACCCATAGCTCAGGGACTTGGAGCGGGGAGAGAATGGCTTCTTGGAAGTGCTTTGGGCTGCAGATTTGAGTATAAAAACAGACACCAGCTTGGATCACCTGGTTCCTATCGATGTTTATTTTATCAGCAACAAATGAGTAAAACCTAACCTTCTCCAGCAGGAAGCTGCTTATGCTCTGTAGAATGAGATTTTCTTAAGAAAGGATAAAGAGTTTTGATGCACCATGTAGGAAGGCTCTTCCTCCAAGCTAGTTACTTTCTGGGTAGAAAGAAGTTCTCTTCAGGTGTGGGGTTTTGTAAGCACTGTGCCAACTTTGTAATCTCTGGGTAGCCAGTGCTCTTCCCTGAGAGGCACGCAGTAAATGTTTCTTAGATGAACCAGTGGCTTTATCAAGAGCAGCCTCAACCAAAATAATACAACTGTAACAATACAGTATGGGAAACCCAGCTCATGTGCAGGTTGCTGGGCACAAGAGTCTCAGGGAGCAAGGAGGGAGGTAGGATCTTCTTTGTCATGGGCTTCTCCACACTGCAAGGCACAGAGCGTTAAAGAGATAGAGGTTTCCTTTCTGGCCTGTCCCTTGTCGTCCTTTTTTCCTCCTTCATCTTTCTTCCTTGCAACTTTTGTCTTCCCCCGTAAATAGTGCATTATTTTCACGTCTGTGTCTTTGTCTGTATGGTCACTATTTGCAATTTCCTCATATGTGTTGTCACCTCTTTCCGCAATGCCGCCGCACTCACCTGGTGGACCTTCGCTTGGCCTCCGGTCACAGAGGTCATGATTTGAATGGGCAGTCTGGCCTAGAGCTGGCCCTTGGGCTTGGGAGCCTACTGGCCTAGAGTTCCATTCGGGGATCACCTCTTGTCTTTTGGGACCTTAGCAAGTTGCCCAGGTCACCTAATAAAGCACTATTGAAAGGAGAAAGAATGATCTTAATCTCACTTTGACATCATGTTTTCCCCACGGCTTCATGATCCATACCTGATGTTCCTGTCTGAATGTGCACTGCCTTTGTTCCTAAACCAGCCTGTGCTCTTCCCCACTAGCTCTAACTGGGTCAGGCCATTCTGCTCTTACCCTGCCCTTTTCCTGCCTCCTGCCCAGGCTCCTGCACGAGGGGCAGGGAAGATCCTGTATGCCGGGGCAGGCCTTCCTTGATGTACAGGCTTCAGATATTCCTGGCCTGTGCTGGAGGTCAGATTTGGTACACAAAAAGCCAGCATACTTGAAGGATGGTATTCCAAGGTACATTTGTACATTTTAGCAACCTGAAACCCAGCAGTGTTAAAGCTTGTAAAAGGTTAATGCTCTTTTGTCATCTAAGTGCACTGATTTGTTTGCTTCTTTGTGACATTGGTTTACTCCACTGAATTTGGTTCCTTCAAGGGCCAATGTCAGTGATCTTGAGGGATTTTAATTTAGGAAATATGGAGGACACCGCTTATGCTGTAGCGAGGGTCACTGTATCTTATTGTCCCTGAGTACATATAGCTTTTAGGTCATTATTTAATGATTCATAGGTAGCAGAAAATATTTATCATATAATCTTAGAGGAAAAAAGTCAGAATGCAAAATTGAATTTATCGTATTTTATATATATATATATATTATATATTGGTACCAGGGATTGAACTCAGGAGCTTGCCAGGCAGACACGGTACCACTGAGCTACATCCCCAGTGACATAATCTTAGCTATGTACAAATCGTGTAGGTTAGGACTAGAATAGGTTGTAGGTTAGCAAAAATAGCTTGATTTGTTAGGAAAATGGGATTAAGATAATTTTGATTTTTTTGGTACAGGGGATTGAACTCAGGACCTTACACTTAAGAAGCAGGCAGTGGCACCACTGAGCTAAATCCCCATCCCTGGGGTTAAGATAATTTTAAAAATTATTGTTGTGTTAATGTTACTGCTACCATGTGAAATTAAAAGCATCAATTAATAATATTAATAGTTTTCATTTATGATACTGTATTAGTCATGTCCTTAGCATATGCCTAATTCCTGCATTATCTCCCGCTCCTCTGTGAGGTGGAGATGTTTGTCCCTGGTTTATGGGACAGAGGGGCCACCCACAGTATCACAGCCATGAGGGGACAAGAGGTGCCTTCCGTTCCATGGCTCCTCTCACTTTGAACTTGTTCCCTTGACCACTGCTGCCTTCTTACTAAAACAAAACATCTTTTCATGAATCAGTAATACAAACTTAAAACATCAGAGGATACTGAGAAAGAAAAAACTTTAGATTAAATGTAGTCCAGGGTTAGGGATGTAGCCTGGGGTACAAACCAAAAGAAGGAAAAAGTAGTCCAGAATATCAGTATTCGGGAAGAACTATTGTTTACTTTTTGGACATATTGGCCAAAACTCTGTGTGTCTCCTACCACTGCCACTGTTTGTTCTTGAGATGAACTCTAGAGGTTGGACCCTAGAAAAACCACAAAGCTGCTGTGGGATGGAAGAATTTCCTCACGAAATCCAAAGTGATGACTGAGGAATTGGGGTTTTGAATGCAATGAGTTGCCTTAGCTGACAGAATCAGAGGCCAAAGGGCAGAGCTGTGGCCAGGTGCTGTTCTCATTCTCATTCTTCCGTGGTTTGGGGAATAGATATATTCCAGGAATACTTGAAAACCTTCTTTTTTTAAAGTTGAGCTTTAAAACAGCATATGCATATCTGGAGCAAAGAATGCAGATTATTTCATCATAAAAGCTCTATGAATTTATAAGGCAATTAGGCAGTACTACAAGATGTATGGTTTTCCTACATTGTTAGAGCTATGGAGAGATAATACAAATGTTCCTAATATTTTTGTTTGATTAAAATATTTAATATCACCACACAATTTAGGTTTTATGAGGAATTTCTTTATTAGTTTAGGAGTGGTTGTAATCTTCATTGGACTTTCAGTTCTGTCATACTGACTTGTTACGAGGAGTTTATGCAGGGAGAATGCAGCTGAGTATGTAGAGATTTATCTTTTGTTTATTCATTTACTTATTAATTCTTCCAGTAAATATTTATAGAAAAACAACCATATAAAAATCCTTCCTCATGGATTTGTTATAAAATCACAGCCAAGGGCATTGATATGTTTATCAATGTTCTGTGTATACAGTCCATGTAAGAAATTTCTTTTAGAATTAAGTCACAGAAAAACACTTTTTCTCATTTTAGCCACACCATACACCTATCCCTCTGATCTTAGCTGCTTACTGTGTTTCTAATCTTGCATTGCCTGCCAGGGAGTTCAGTTTCTCTTGATACTCAATCAAAGCATTGTATTACCCTGATGCTTGACATATTTCTCATTCTTTTGTTATGGCCCTGACTTTCTGCTTTAAAACCTGAATGTACATTTTTCCCTTGTCAGTTCACCTCACTTCTTCTTGGGAAAGGACCAGGTGGAGAGGGACAGAAATTCCAGGCACAGTGCTATGCACCCTTATCAGATACCCATTAGTTGGAACTAGATAGTGGAGATGGATGCACATGATGTAAATGAACTAAATGCTATAAAATTGTATACTTTAAAATAATTAATTTTATGTTAGGTGAATTCTATCTCATTAAAAAATGGTGGGGGGGGGAGTGGGCAACTGACTTTAATTATGCTAATGAGGGTTGTGAGTAGGCTCTGGTTGAAGATTTTCGTGATGGCCCATGGAAACCATTGGAAAATCTTCCAGATAATTGGCTTCACTGTCTAGAAGAGCCAGAGTCGGTCTTGACAATGTGTACAGGCAATTATGTAGCCAACTTCAAGGCCTTTCTTGCCTTTTCCATCCTTTCTCTAGTTATCTTTAAAGTGAAACAACAAAAACCTATGTTGTTTTAAATTATATAATCAAATATTTAATGTAGAAAAATCAGCAAGATAATCATACTGTAGTCATAAAAATCAGCCATAGTTCTGATAGCCAACTAGAATTACGGTTAGTTTTGTGCCTACCTTCTAGACTTCTGTATTGAATCCATCCAATGCATGCATTCCATCATCCATCTGTCTTTTCCAAAGTGTGGTCCCCAGGATACCAGTCTCATGGTTAAGTAAGTTTAGAAAATGGCCCACCCAGCACCTCTTTTTGGAGATTCATGATCTACATTTCAAATCTAAAAGATTTGAAAAATTTAGTAGCCAAGAAGCTCGTTTCACTGTGATTAATCTTAAATTTTTCCAGGGTACTTGAGCATAGCATCCTTATTTTCTCTATCTCAGTGAACTGATGCAGTGTTCTAGAGAAGCTGATGAAGCTGAGAACTTAAGTGGATCTTAAGTGTTATGTCAGATTTCGTCAATATAATTGTAGTAGATGTTTGAATTGTGTCTATGATGTTACTCTGTCTCCTTGTCCATTACATTTTTCTAAAACATAATTTTTAGTTATGCAGAATTCTACTGCATGAGTATATCCCATGGCTTGTGGAACCAGTGCCTTGCAACTAGAATTTTGTTTTTTCTCCATTGTTGGCTCTTATAGTGTACATTATTACATCTAACTAAGGCATTATCCACCTTGAAGACATTGTATCATATAAAGCCTAGTTTTCCGGGGATCTGGTGTCCATAGATTCCCCATGAGTGATTTTATTCTTGTTTTTTTTTTTCCGTGCTCTACTTTAAGGGGCCTGTTAGGAACACTCTGGAAAGAGAGGAAAGACAAACAGTAGAAGTAGAAGGATAAAGGGAGGAGTGGTTTTGCTGCTAGGTTTAGCTAAAAAATGATTTTTTAACCTTACATGTCTATGGCCAAAATTCTGACCTGGCTCTTAGCTTTTTGTTTTCACCTTATTTGCTTTTAAAATTATCTAGTTTCCTTCTGGTTATGGCAAGAGATCCAAACAGGGATAAGTTTTCTTTAAATATAAGTTTAAAACGTGAGGGAAAAGTAGATATTAAGAAAAAGTATAAGTACACAAAAGTACAAGTAATGCTTAGATGTGGCAAAAAAGTGACATGATGTGCAAGTAACTGAAATGTGGGGAAAATCAGGTTAACCCGCGTCTCACTGGTCACTGGCCAGAGTGAGCGCTTCATAGTTTCATCTTTGTATGATCCTCAGTAGTGGTTCTGTTTTAGGTCCTAAACCTGATTTTATTCTTTTTTTCTCATCAGCTTTCAACTGCCTTGAGGGGTGGCACAAAGAGGACTCCACACACAGGGATGCTTAGCTGGGTCTTGAAAGAGAGGAAGCATCAGGCCACATGGTGCAGTGGGAATAGAAGCCCCTCAGGAGGCCGACCCCACATAGGTCACAGTCGGCCTTGCTTTATCGCAAGGGAAGGCACTTGTAATGGAAGAACAAACCCTTGAAACAAACAAGTATAAATGAATTCACTGAAAAACAGTTTGGTCATTGACAGTATCTGGGAATTGGAGACGTATTTCTCCTTTCCCCTCTGGCGTCTGGGAAAGCAAATAGCCCTAATAGAGACCAGCAAATAACAGCTATAAAAACGAAAGCCTGTGCACAGGGCTGAAGAGAGATGTCAGCTCTGAGAAGGAAAAGAGAAAGAACTGGAAGTGGAGCGGAGCAAGGAAATACAGGTTTAAGCCTACAAGGCACAGGTGGAATTTTTACATTAAGCAAGTGAGAGACTACAGGGGAAAAGCAGGATGACTTCCTTTTTTTAATGACAGAATCAATAGAATCTAATCAAGTTTTCAATGCAATTGTGGTAAGATGAGGAATGCTAAGTGGATCCACATAGCAGAAGGCAGTAACTAGAACATAATCATGTCCAGAGGGGATCACCAGAGTGATGTTCCACACTTCTAAGCCCCACTGGGGAGAGAGACTGAAATGAAGGAAGGGTGATGTGGGCCCAGGTTCACAGCCCCGAGTTTTGATGCCTTGTTTTGTGTTGATTTTATCCCTTTTCTCTGTAGAGCTCCCCTGGAACTATTTTCATCTAAGAAAGGAAAGGACGTCCTTTTGGAGAGAAGTAGTAAGGAGACCCACGGTCAGCTTTTGGGATGCACAGAATCAGATAACACGCTCTGTTGGAAGATGATGAGGTCTGGGGACTTTAATAGGAGTTGAGAACTAGTGCCTGCAGAATCTCCCACACTCTGCCCAAGTCACTCAGTATGCAAATATCCCCCACAGAACAGAACAGAAAAGCCCCTAGACTGCTTACTGTACAAATACAGACTCAATCTCCCCAACCAGGTATGCCAGGATAATCTGCTTACAACACAGTGCTGCTCACACATGCTTTAGCCCAGCCCTGTTGCCTCTCTTTAAAAAAAAAAATTTTTTTTTCCTGTGTTATGAGAAATTGAATGCAAGGCCTTACACACACTAGGCAAGGGCTCTACCACTCAGCTACATCCCAGCCAATTTTTTGAAAGTTATTTTGAGACAGGGTCTGGCTAGGCTGCCCAGGCTGGCCTCAAACTCATGCTTCTCCTATCTCAGCCTTTTGGATAGCTGGAATTACAAATGTGTGCCATCGTGCCCCACTGGGTGACTCTCTTAAGTACCCCCATATGGGAATTTTGGAGCTGCCACTGGGCAATGATTATAATTTGGGTTCATTGTTTGAATGAGGAACATGATAAGAAGTGCAAACCATTTATGGACCCTGGCTTTAAAGCTCCTTGAATTATACAGAATCTGGTTTACATTCTGCCTTGTTTGGTGCCAGGTCCTGGGGAGAGTGCATGGGTTTGAAGCTGATCATTGCCTTTGAGGAGACTATTCAGAGGTGAAGTGGGAGACACAGAACCAGAGCTGACAATGTAACTGGGCTAGGGTTGGAAACTGGTGCTGTGAGACTCACAGGCAGCTCTTCCTAACTCAGGGTAGGAGACTGGTTGCGGGGGAAAAAGCCAAGATCATAAATGATCATGATTTTTACATTGATTTCAACCTATCCTTGATCTCAGACCAAACATCCCCCTAAGTGAGGTAATATTCCTTTAGGCATATATATTTGCTCAAGAAAAACTTGTGACTGTTTGGATGAATGAATAAACAAGTACTTCCAGTGAAGAAACTGGCACTTGGAGAAGAAACAGGTTACCTGATAGCAAAGCAGGAATTTAAATGTAAAAATGTCATTCTCTTTCTACCACATACACAGCAATTGCTGGATGATAGAATGGAGAAAGCTAGAAGTCCCAGACAACTTCAAGGAGAATGTATAGCAAGTCATCAGCATTGGGATTTTCTAAAGAGAATCAGCATTTGCTGGTGGATGATTGTTACCCTTCTCATATGGGCAGGTTCACATTAGCCAGTGCACACACTGCTAATTGGTAATAATATTTATTTTCAAGAACAAAAACCTATGGTGCCCTATTTCATTCTCCAGTATCTTTGGTGAGTAGCTTTAGTTTCACAGTCGGAATTAGCCCTTTAAAAACACTTCAACATTTCCCTTTTTCAACTCACCTTGCTTGGACATTAAATTTAGAAACAACCAATGAAGCCCATTGGCCATATGGGTAAGTGAACTTTTAAAAGTAGGTGCTTTGCATCCCTGCAGCTCCAGGAGCTGTTGTCATAGTAACATGTTCCCCCTTGTGTTGCAGAATGAGCAGTCCATGGAACCAATGGCAATGTAGGTCACAAGCGAAAAGGGATTTGGTGGCTTGCCTCAGAGCCCAGCTTGGCACAGCCAGGGATCCTTCATACTGTGGGGTCTGGAGGGGCTCACATTCCTTTTGTAGAACATTTTGTACTAGAACTGAGCCTGAAAGGCCATACAGAGGAGGGGTAGAGAAGGCTGGCAGGCAGGAGCTGCATACTGCATTCAGGAGATTCAGGATGCCAGGAGCCCAGGTTAGCCTATCCCAGGTGTGACTGTGGGCAGGTGGGTGTGTACCACTGTTGAAGGCTCAACAGTGTCCCTGCTGCCTGGTAGGCACTGGCACCCTCTGTGGTTCAGATTCATTCAGCATTGCTTCATGAAGGTGCACATCAATTATAAAAAAATTATGGCTGCAAGAGACCTCACTTCATATATACCCTGGGAATGCATCCAAGGAGCTTTATTTATTCATTCATTCATGCAGCACACATTTACTGAGCCCCTTCTTTGCGCCAGGTACTATTCTGGCCATGGACAACTTCACTGGGGTGCAACTTCATTGAGCTCGTGGTCAGGAGGACTTTGCATTTGGTTCAGTGCTCTGCAGTTGCTACCTTGAAACTCTCAATCAGTTTTGAACCAGGAACCCCACGTTTTCATTTTGCAATGGGTCCCACACTGAGGTTACAATGTTCAGAAAAGCAGATATAATTCTTCCCTTCTTAAAGCTTATGGTACAGTGGGAGAGGCAGACAGGAACACAAATCAATGTAGAATTACAGCTGTGATCTTCCACATGGAGAGGCAGAAGTATGTACTGCCAGGAGAGAAGAGACTATCATTTTACACCTCACTGGCTTGACCTGACTGTAGCTAGAATAGTGCAGAGGGTTGAAATTACACCAGAAGGATATAAGAGTGAGTGCTATTGTTGACCAGCTTGGGCTTCTGAGAAAGAGTGGTATGTTCCCCTCAAGGCCATGGAGGCTTGGAATATGTCCTCTGCCAGGGCAGGTGCTTTGGGTGCGACCCTGTACCTCCAGCCTGAGGTTTTTCTTTTAACTTTTCACCTTGACATAATTTCAGACTTACAGAAAAATTGAAAGAATTGTACAGTGCATTCCATATATCCTTCAACCCAATTCCTCAAACATTACATTTTACCATCCTGTCTAAGTATCTGTATGGCCCTATCTGTCTGTCTGTCTGTCTGTCTGTCTATCTATCTATCAATCATTTGATCTTGAGTTGCAAACATGATATATCCCTTTGCTGCTGCTATGGACTAAATGTGTGTATACCCCCAAATTCATCCACTGAAATCCTAACTTCCAAGGTGATGGTATCAGGAAGTCAGTCCTTTGCAAGTATTCAGGACATGAGGGCAGCGTCCTCATGAATGGATTGAGTACCCTTATAAAAAGACATAAACCAGGGTTGTAGTTGGGTGGTACAGCACCTGCCCAGCATGCACAAGGCCCTGATTCAATCACCAGTACTGAAAAAACAAAAAGATGAAAAGACATAGTTTGTTTTCTCTCTGCTCTGATACAACCCGATGGCTCCCTACAAACCAGGAAAGGGCCCTCATCAGAGCCCCGCCATGCTGGTATCCTCATCTTGGACCTCCTGCCCCCAGAACTGTGAGAAATAGTTTCTGTCTTTTCAGCCATTCAGCCTATGGTGTTTGTATTATAGCAGCTCAAACCAAGTAAGAAAACTGCTAAATACTTAAAAATTTTTCTAGAAACAAGATCATTCTCTTCCATAACCATAGTATAATGATCAAAATCAGGAGCCAACATTTATGTATCATTGTCTAATCTGTAAGTCTTATTCAGATATCCTTCACTGTCCTAATAATGTTCTTTTTGGCAAAAGAAAATGTGATATCATGTGTTATATTCACTTGTCTTATTTACTTGCATTTCTTTAATTTGGAACAGTTCCCTGTCTTTCTTTGTTGTCCATGACATTGATTTTTTTTTTTTTTTCAGTACTGGGGATCGAACTCAGGTCCTTACACTTGTGCAGCAGGCAGTGAAACCACTGAGCTAAATCCCTGGCCCATATTGATATTTTTGAGGAGTGTAGTCAATTATGTTTTTTAAAATCAGATGTACTATGGTGTAATCAATTGATTGGTCAATTCATTCTTTTTAGATATACTGTTCTCAGGCAGGTTATCTTGTAGATTGAAGCTCACTTTGAGTCTGTCTTGTGTTTCCTTATAAGATTCAGACTTTGATTCTCTCATTGAAATACCCAGAAAGGATGTTGTATTTTTCTCAGTTCATAAAGCAGGAAATGTTTGCTATTAAATTATTATGGAACTAACTTTTCCACTGTAAAGTTTCTCCTTTGTTCTTTTGCAATTTATATGTATCTTGTGGGGAGATGCTTTCAGACTCTGACTATATTTTTTTATTCCTCAAACTCTCACCGCCAATATTTTTATTCAGTGCTGCTTCTTGCTTGAAAGTTAGTGATAGTTGCCAAATGGTGATTTTGTAATTTTGTCATTGATTTTACATTTGGTAGTTGTCTTGCTACTTCCAGGAAGACCAATTCCTTCCAACTAATTCATTAATTGAGCATAAGCATTTTCATTCTTATTTTCTTCAATGGATTATATTCTTTTACTATTATTTGTTTTGATTTTCAAATTTTCTCAGATTTGGCCCCTTTAAACTTGGCCATATCTTGATATGTCTCCATCATTCTTTGAGCTCTTCCTTACTTTCTAGCACAAGAAGATGTTCCAAGTTCATCTTGTATTTCCTGGAGTCAACCATTTCTCCAAAGAAGGGTGCAATTTTCCAAAGGTGTACATGTCCCTCGAAGCCATCTCAATCTTGAGATTCTTCCCAAATCTATGACATAATACCAGAAAATGGAGATTTTGGATACAAAATTGTTTCAGGACACTTACCTGACTCTTTTTTTCACTCTTAATTGAATTTGAAGCAACTTACAAAATAATTCATATAATAAAATTTATGAAACAAAAATTTTCAAAAGGGAAAAAATGGTGACTAAGTGGAAGGAAAACAGATATGCCAACCACAAAAGTTACTGGGCTTGCCCAGAAAAACTTAGCATTCAGCATTCTGGCAGCCAAATTAAAGGACTGCATGGGGAGAGGATGCTCGGTGCTGAGATTCCCTTCAGGGACTCTGCCCTGCAGGCAAAGACAGGAGCCACAGCGAGGAGGACCTGGACTCACGTGGCATTGTGGGATACACAGCCTTGGGGGACAGCATTCCAGCCAGGCAGTAGACTGAGCTGCAGAGGGGAAACAGCAGGACCAGGATCTTTTCTTCTTGAAAGCAATTTAGAGTATATTCTAATTTTTAGATCGCTTCTCCACTGAGACCCCACAGTTGGAAGGACATTGCTATTTGAGTGCTATACAATCATCCTTTTGCCTTTCACTCTTTCACTCATTGAAGGCTTATATAATACTTCCTAGGAGAAATGCAGCTTTCAGGCTCAGGGGAGGCAAAGACTACCAGGACCCCAACCCTGGCCACCAAGTCCAACAGCCAAAGGAGCTTGACATGAAGGATGGATGGTATATTAGATTACACGCCAAATGTGCTTTTAGGGGTGCTACTGGAATTGAGAGACAACTACGAGGTATCTCTTCTTCCTTTGAATGTTTCATGAAGGAGCTGGTATTTTATAAAAACAAGGAAGTTCAGATCTACAAAAAAGCCTTGTGGAGAAGCAAGTAAAAATATACAACAAATGGAGTTGTCCCCATGTGAACAGACATCTAATCGTTTTTTCTCCTATTCATTTATTCAATGAATATTTATTGACTTCAAAGAGCATGTTCTTGACTGTGGTTGACCCTGCGTGAGCAAAAATGCACCCAGTTTCTGCCCCCATACTGCTTGAAATCTAATGGGAAAATAAAATTAAATCCCATGAATTATTAAAAACTGTTTTAAGTGCTGTCCTGAGAGGTACCCAGCTCTCCCTGAGTAGGAGGTTAGGGAGGCAGACCTTGAGGAAGGGATGATTAAGATGAGAATGGAAGGACGAGTCCGGATCACTAGACAGGAGCAGACCAGGCAGAAGGAACTGGGTGTGTAAAACCTTAGAAGAGTCAGGGAACACTTGTCCCTAAAGAGAGACCGACTAATGTGGCTGGGGGGTAGGAAGCAGAGGGAATTGGGTGACAACATGAGTCTGGGGAGGTGGACAGCAGCTAAAGGGCACAAGTCCATGGCAGGTGTCCGTGGCAAGGACCAAGAGGGCTGGGAAGAGTTAAGATGATTGGGTCAGGAAGTACAGTGTAGAGGTATAAGGCTAGAGCAGTAACTTCAAGAGCCGAAGGAGGAGGCAGGAGATGAAGCTGTGAAATGACAGGAGCACTAGTAACAACCATGAAAATAGCATCTCCACCTTTTGAGGGCCCCATTTTACCCAGACCTTGCTGGCAGAAGACAAGATAAAGGGGAGACAAGGTCAGGATCCATTCACACAGAGCTACAGATAACCCAGGACCTACCGATTTCATCTCTTACTCTCTCCTGTAGAAATGTTCTTGTGCATGAGTAGATCCACTTGGGGATGTTCATCGCAGCAAGGACTGCAGTAAAACAATAAGGGGCCCGTGAATGCTGATCCGTGTGGGAAGGAGTAAATCATCTTTGGCCCACCCTTACTGTGATACATGTGCGTGCGGTGATGGAAGAGCAGAACCTCTGGGTGCTGATGTGAAAGCTAAGACATAGTGCTGGGGAGAAAACCCAAGGCAGGATAGTACATCACGGTGATGTCATTGCTGTAAATGGAAAAAAGTATGGCCTTCAGAAAATACCACCCTAACCCCTTGTGAGGACATATCGAATACTCACTCAAATGCCCAGAAAAATTTGTGGAAGGGTTTAGGGTAAACTGAAAGCTGTGGTTCCCTGGGAGAGGGGAGAGTCCTGGGGTTAAGGGAGGGTTTGGGGAACTTTGGCTTTATCTGTACTGTCTTAATTTGATTATGGAAACTCAAACATATGCAAACATAGGGCACTGTTGTAAATCCCCAAGGGCTGACACCCACACCCTCCCTCTTCCTGGACTATTTTTAAGCACATCCCTGACATTGTATTCCATTCGTAAATATTTCAGTAAGTCTCTCTAACAGATAGGAACCCTTTAAGCAAAACATAACCGCAACACCATGATTGCATCTAAAAACATATATAACAATTCCTGAAAATTATCAAATGCCCAATCATTGTGCACATTTCTGTTTTCTACTTACAGTTCATTCAGATCTGGACCCCATAAGGTTTATACATTGCAACTAGTTGATAAACCTCCTGACTTTTTGTTCTTATTTGTTCTTTTTTTTGGTACCGGGGATCAAACTCGGGACCTTGCGCTTGCCAGGCAGGCACCAGAACCACTGAGGTAAATCCCCGGCACTTTTTGTTCATTTGTGCCAGTTTATCTCTGGGATAGGTTACCAAAAGTGACTCCTCTGTGTCAAAGGACCAGGGCACATGTAGTTTCACTGGCTGCTGTCAGATTCCCCTCCCCAGGGTTGTGGCATTTTGCATCCCCACTGGCAGAGGGTGAGAAGGCCCATGCCCCCACAGCTTCACCAGCAGACTGTATTGTAAAACTTTAGGATCTTCGCTAGTCTGGTAGGTGAAAGGTATGGATTGTTGTAATTTTCATTTTAAAAAATATTTCAGAAGAAAATGGGCTTGGGGAGAAGTATGAGCCTGTAGAGGAAAGGAACAATTTGCATTGAAATAATAATATTGCCAACTATCACTTAGCATATATTTTGTTTTACTTACTCAGTCCTATAAGAGAGAGAGTGTCTTAGTCACTTTCCTGTCACTGGGACAAAATACCAAACATCCACATCTTAAAGGAGGGGAGGTTTAATTTGGCTCATAGTTTTGGGGGAATCAGTCCATGATTGGCTGGCTTAATGGTAGAAACAGCAAGGTGGAAGGGCGTGGTGAAGGAAAGCTGCTCAACCCATAGCAGGAAGCAGAGAGCAAAGGAAAGAACCAGAGACAAGGATGCATGCTTCCGGGTCACACCCCCGCTGACCTGACACTTCTGACCAGTCCTGTCTCCCAACAGCAATTTAGCTATGAACTCTTGGCAGATGAGCTCCACTGATGAACCAGGGTAGCGCTAAGGGTCCAGCCACATTCCCCAAGCCCAGCCTCTGACTGCATGAAACTTCTGGGGAACTCTTGAGATTTATACCATAATAGGAGGTATCTTTTTACCTTTTAAAGCAAGGAAACGGGATCAGAAGGGTGAGTACATGTGTCTAGGTTCTCACCGTAAGGAAGTGGAGGTCAAATGTGAGCCTCTAAGTCTGCTCAGGAACTGCTTCCGAGGTGCTCTGCTAGTGTGAGCTGCCTAACCTGCAAGACAGCATGGACCCAGAGCACTAGGGAGCATCTCCCAGGCTCCTTCCTTCTTTCCTGCTGGAGCCAACCTCCAGACCACTGGCAATGTCCATCATTGGTACCAGTGGTTTGAAGGGCAAAGGGAGGGACATCACAGGCCATTACTGGATAGCAGCTGCTGGTCCCATGGCAGCCTGGGAGCCAGGGACCAAGGTCAAAGCCAAGTAGTGCACAACTTTGGCATCCATGGAAGCAAGGTTCTCAGGACTCAGGTCTATAAACCATTTTAGTATAAAACTCGGAACCCCTACTTTTATATTAGAAAGACACATATCTCTCCCTTTAATTTTCTTGAAGAAGAGATGAAATGAAGATAAAAATGGGCTCCGGAAGCACGAGCCCATCAAGTCCAAATTTCTGAGTATCTTTCTGTCAAGCGTTATTTGATTACCGAAATGTTACGTGACACATTTTCATGGCCACATAAAATGTCTGGTTTTAGCTCTACAGCATTACTGCAGTGAGCATGACAACTCTTAGGCTGGCCATTCTGCAGAGCAGGAAATGGAGGAAGCTGTCGTCTCAGGGACTCTCAAAGCCCCAGACCAAGAGGATGGTTGGTACAGTCCTTTTAGGGACTGTTAGCCAGGATCCTGCACAAAATGGGCTTTCGTCAAAGCCTGAATATTAGAAGAAGAAGGACCTTCCTTGCTTCCCTTAGTATCTGGAGGGCAGGAACCTCTTCTTCTGTCCTCTCCTCCCCAGTGTCAGGGGACACAAGGGGGATCACTGCACAAGTTGGCTCGCGGGTGCTCAGGGAAGGAGAGAGGGAGACATCCAATTGAGTGGCTCAAAATGACAGAGAGGTGCAAATCATGTCTTTCCTGTCAGTGCGTGCACACACACACACCACCACAGTGCAAAGACCCTGACTGAGCCTCCAGTGAGGTGGATTTGAGCTCTGCTCTGCATTACCACTTCACAGCTGTATGCTTCGGGGCAAATCCATTTTTCTTTCTTTTTCTTTTTTTTCCTGAGCTATATTCCTAGTCCTTTTAAAAACTGTTATTTAACTTTTGAGACATGGTCTCACTAAGTTGTTAGATTGCCAGGTTGAGTTGAAACTTGCAATCCTCCTGCTTCACCCTCCCAGAGTGCTGGGGT